ATGTAAACATCAAGGATACCCAGTGTATTTAACATCTTTAAACCTAGTAGAGTAACCACTTCTCTGGCAGATTTTGGATTTATTCCCTCCCCAAAACAAAGAACTGTTGGATTGATCGACATAGATAACAAAGTATAGGATTTTTCGTTTTTTTCATTTTTCGATGTCAAATCCAAATAATTTACTTCAAATTGTTTGGAATTTGCGAATTCCAATAAAGTTGTTTGCCGTTTGACGTTCTTGTATTTTTGAATAAAAATAAAACAAAAATTATATTACTTATTGGTGAAAGGCGAAGTAAGTTAATACAGATTACGCGAACGAGTCATTCAAATGGTCATAACTTTTTGGTCTACAAAGATACCATCAACCCATCCAGACCGCATCCAGGTAATTTTTAATGTACATGAAATTGTGTAATTAAGCAGTACAAAAAGATACTTTTTTTATTTTTGAAACTTTATATTTTTTGTTTTACACTCTGATCCTCCAGTTTTACTGTAGCGATTATTTGCAAAATCTTCAGATGTATACATCCAACCCAATTATGGTTGGTATGGCGTCGACTTTTGCTAACGGTTTCACGAATAGGGTTTTTAAATCAATTTAATTTCTACACAGGGACTTTATTGTTAAGAGATCAGTTTATAAAGACAAAATAAGTTTGTTGTGCAATTGTACTTGGGGATTTTATTATCTTTATAGTATAGAAAGCCCTTGTTATTAACTCAAATGGGTCACTGGAATTGGTATGAAAAACCATAAAAATTTATAAGAGACAAAAAATAATCTACAATAAGTGATTACCTACCTGAAAAAAATACCGTTTGGAAGTCACTGGCGCACGTACTAAAAAGAGTGGGGGTCAGTGAGTACTGTACCACCCTATTTTGATTTTTTGACAATTGTTTTTTGTTTTGTTGTCCTCAACTTTTTATGTTGAAGTAGTGTACCGAATTTGAACTTAATATTTTATCAATTACTCGAATTATTAAAATAAATCAATTTTAAATTTCAAACTTTATCGCCCTGTATATCGAACATGAAGCTCTAAATTGAAAAATGGTATTATAAAAGTGTAATTGTTTTAACTCAAGGAATATATGGTTAAAGGATTGACCTCTTTTTTCCAGACACCCTGTATAACAATATCAAGTGTAAAAAATGTGAAAAAATATATTTTTTTGACGATCGCGAAATTATTTAAACATATAACGAAGAAAATTATTTGCTTGAAATAACAAACGGAAAACGCAAGCCACTTTTTATTTGTTTGTGGTTTTATTTGAAATGTAAAAGTACATTTGAAAATCCAATTTGTAACTTTAAAATTGTAGTACCTATTTAGAATTAAAAAAGACAAATACTTTATTAATCGAACAGTTTGGAAATCAGAAGTCATATCGTCCCCTTAGTTCAACAACTAGATAACTTGAAATTTATAGTTTTGAGAAAATCCACTTTAAAGATTTAAAACGAAACAAATTACAGCTGTTAAGTAATCAAAAATATTTAACATCTATGATATTATCTGATTACTTAACAGCTGTAATTTTTTTGCGTTTTAAATCTTTAAAGTGGATTTTCTCAAAACTCGAGTTTCAAGTTATCTAGTTGTTGGGGCGATATCATATCATTGTTGACTCATGGTTAGGCGGCAACGCCATAAAAATATCCTCCAGTGACAGAATAAACACTGGCAACACTGTTGGACCTCAGCTTAATGTTATAATATCAACTTATACAAGGGCGGATCTCGTCTATCACTAACTTTTTAAAGGATCTCGTGTTGTGTTATATACTTGGTGTATTATTTAATTGCAAAAAATGTTTCCCCTCTGTTGGTGTACTTGCTAACAATATTGTTTTAGTTAATTTTGTAATATTGGTTTTTTCTAATATGCTATATTTTAAGTGGATCTCAGGTTGCCTAGGGTTTATCAGGATCTCACCTTTATATGAATACGTGTATATATATATATATATATATATATATATATATATATATATATATATATTATATAATCTTGCTCCTATTCGCGACCATGATCATTTCAGGCTGATGCTAATAGTTTTAATTGGAGATTAGATTGGAGTCGATCGCTCGAGCTAAATAATAAAATGGCGAAAAAGTTAAACATTTTAATTCAACCATTTTCAGGCGTTCTTAGTGTTCAAAACAATACTAGTCTTAGATGTAAAGCCGGGTCTACAATTGTCGCAGGGGTCCGATCGCAGAATATAAGCTTGCGCAAAGCACCCCGCGACGTGGCGATGGAGCAAGGTTATTTTGTCACCTGGGTGCTTTGCGCAAGCTTATGTTCTGCGATCTGCGACCTGCGATAATTGTAGACCGGGCTTAATGTTTGTAAAACTACCTTTTTGTGCTCACACTGACGTCATATCTCTTACATCAGAAGGTTCGAGTTCATCTCAACAAGATCAAAAAACCTTTACCTATAGCAGACCTTGTTAAAGCATTGGTATCTGCTAATAATCCATTTTGCAAAATCAACAACCCATTGTTTTAAAGATTTTTAAAGAAGTATTGTCATAAAAAAGTACCGGACGATTCGACTATTAGAAAAAATTGTGATGTTAAACGATCTTTTTTAAAATACCATAATATTCTGAGAAGAAAAGAAGTAGATTTAATGAAGTAAATTTAGAAAAGGCATTAGTTATATATTGCAACAGTCATAGAGGCTCATAATAAAATAATAATAATAATAATGTACCTTTTTTGTTTCATAATTTCTAAATATACTTTTTTCTACGACCACTATGTAAAAGTCACATTTCGTAATGGCATCGTTGCTTAAAAAATTATTCTTTTCATTGGCAAGGCAAAACTCGAATGTAAAGTGGCATTTCTGTATGAAAAGTGACAGGTCTGTGTGAAAAGAAATTGACAGCATCGTTTGACATTTGTATTGTATTTGTATGTCTAAATATCATTTAGAACACAATTAATTGTGTTTGTATAATAAATTCTAATTTTTGATGCCTTTAAACAATTATTTAAATTGAGAAGGGAAGTTTATTGATTTTAATTAACTTAACTTAACTTAAAAATTAAAAGATAAGAATAATTTTAACAGCTGTCAAACACGTTTTTAAGTTATTTAAAATATGGTGGTAGAAAAAACATTGTATTTCACTATATTGGTTGGTGCAGAATTAACTAATGACAACTTTACCTAATATAATTTATATTCAAGTTTGGACATTTTTAAGAAATTAGTAAAAAATAATTTTTGCACAAACATAACCTTAAAATCAATCATTTTTATATTTGAGTTCTCTAAAAAACGCCGACAACTGCATATACATATAACAACAAAATATACCTACGAATTCATCGCAACATAATATTATATATAATACATAATATAATGGTATTTTACCGTTGAGTGGAGACTTTAAAGAATTCTTAATCAACGCTTTTAATAATGCTAAATGCTGTTTAAATTTAGACGACTTATTTGTTTGACGATTTTTACTGAATTGAAATATTTACACTTTTCACGTTAATGACTAGTAAAATGTGTATTTATTGTATCTCATAGGTACAATTTATATTTACAGAGACTGTATGCAATTTATTTCTTCATTCAGATTAACACTATTTATTGGAAAACCGGTAAAAACTCAACCCAGGATTTCCTCTCGAAATACACCCAACAACACAACAAATCGAGCCACGGTTTTTTTTTCGATATTTTTTAACATTTTCCTGCTTTATTCTCAAAAATACTCGTTTGTAACATAAGCGTTTGACAGCTGATTATTAAAAGTTATACTTTTGTTACGATGATAACAGCCGAGTGGTGGCGCTACTAGCGATACTTCTTTAGCGTATAGGTACTTAAAAAAATAATAATTTGTTTTCATTGAAAACGTCAATTATAATAATAATTATAATTACATAGATAGCTTTTTAGTTTTACACATTTATAATTACAATTATAATTATACCAGTATGTACTTTATTTGTTTTCATTGAATATTTCAATTATTATAATATTCGTTGAACGTGGTGAATATAAATATAGAAAGAAATTAATAAAAATAATATGCCTATAAGGGTGCTTAAAAAAAATTTTTTTTTTCTCTCTTGCCCTCTCAAATGTTTCTATTTAATATAAAAAAATCCTCAACAAATATGGGCGTTCCACGCTGTTTTTATTTTAGTTTCCCATTTAATTAACATTGGAAAAAATAATGTTATGTTTGGAATTTTATACCTCTGTATCAAAGTAACTTAGCAATGAGCATTGCAGTTTCTTATATAAAATGTTTTTCGATAAATTGATTTCTTCCAGAGTTATTTGAGTCAAAGTTTGATTAACATCAAATTTTCTGTTTTTTTTTTAATTTTATGGTACAATTAGCAGACGGGAGGTGAAAGGGGGCAAAACAAGGCAGCGGGGAGGGGGGGGGCAAAATGGGGTACCCAAAAAATGAAAAGTTTTTCAAATTTGTACCTTCCTTTTTCTCGCTCTGACTGACACTGACTGTAACATATACATTTGCAGAATTTAATGACTGACTGAAACATATAGGCTCATTCCCTATTATATATATCATAACAAATAAATTATTAAGTTTTTTAAGTTTTGTTATTCATTTCGATGCCAAATTTTAAAACAAGACATCAAGATTTTAAAGATGAGTTGATATTAATATTAAAAGTTGTTAAGCTTTAAACGTAGGCGAAAAATAAAACATTTATAAATGCATCGGAAACTATCGATAGGGATATACAGTGTGACCCATTTGTTTGCGACTCACCCCTCACTTTAAAACAAATCCGGTTAAAATCGCACAATAAATAAAGATTTTACAGGGGTAACAATAGAGTCACACAGTGACTGTATATATATACTTTTCAAACTCTACTTTCATGCTTTTTTATTTTATTTATTTATATATTAATGTGCTTCCCTAATTACCTAATTACAGGACACTGACAAACACAAATACAAATTTGTACTTACTTTTGGAGGACATTCCCTTTCTTTTTGGGCTCTAACCTGGATCTTATTTTCCTGATCAAAATAGTAAACGTAACTAAAACGACATTCGTCTTCATCGTAGTATGCACAGAAAAATTCGTTATTTTCTTCCTCGGGTGGTGCTGATGAAAAAATATTAATTTGTTTTATTTTTAAACTTTATTGTGTTCAGTCCTTACCTTGAACTTCATCTACCGAAATAGGCACAAATTTGGTACAGTTAGCCGCACAGTCATCTGCATCTTTTAATGGTCCAGTTTTATACATTTGGCACTGAACACAGTCTTTAAATTCTAGACACCTATCCGAGCAAGTCTAAAATAACAATAAATGTTTTAATGTTAAGGGGTGTATAAAAGTACACATACAGGACATTTTTCACAGAACCGTCCTGAATAGCGTCCATCTTCAGTTGTCTCGCATTTACACTGACCGCATTCGCATGTACCATGTCCAGAACAAATTTGTCCATCTTCCACTCCCGGAGCGTAGCAACTGGCTGTAGATTTTTGACAAGCGCAGTTGGATCCAGTCCAACCATCTTTGCACACACATTGTCCACAATCGCAAGTACCTAAAATTTCGTGATATTATTTAAAAACAGTAATATTTAAAAAATAATTACCATGTTCTGGCCCACTACATAGTCTACCATTATGCCTTTCACATGAAAAATCGTCACATTCACAAAAGTCTCCATAAATTCTCTGAAATAAATCATATACATTATATAATAAATTTATCTTTTATTTAAATTGAATATTCCCACCTCGCTTTCATGTTGTCTGACATCGCATTCACATCTTCCGCATACACACTGTCCTCTACCGGAACATTCCAAATGAGAAGTGCTGTTGGGATGTATGCAACCCATTGTTTTGTTCAACTTTGAAAGACTGTCTGGTGTACATTCACATTGACGACCAAACGCTCCATAGTCACATTCACAGATACCGCATTTATATGTACCATGATTAGAGCACTCTGGGGCATTAAATTTAAAGGACTAAAATTTATTCTTAAAATAAACAAAATAACTTAAATCATGAAAATATGCTTACTGGATGGCCGGGTCTTTCGCAGTCGCAGGAACACAACATTTCGAGATCAATTACCAAACTTTCGTTAATACCAATGGGATAAATTTGAATTGTTTGAGTCCAGTCTTTGGGATCTTCGGGGCACTGAAGTACCTCAATGTCTATTTTAAAAGTAATTAGATCTCCAACCTTAATGTTCCCACATTTATTTGTATTGACTAAAGAACCAGTACTATTAAGACACCTAGTAAAGAACTTTAAACTCAAATGACTAGATGCATTATGTTTCATTTCAACAGAGGAAGAGATCTTATTGTACTGCTCTTCAATAATTTCAACAATATTTGAAGAATCTTCGTTTATAGAAGCATACGATGCTCCATCTATATGTTCAGCTAGTTTCTTGTAAACAGCGATGGTTTGATTGGTTACTGCAAATATTACGTTGATGGCATTTTGCTTTACCACCATATTAATTTGTTCTATGCTAGGATAATCTTGATTCGAAGATTCTGCATAGTAACCGTTATAGTCTAAATGGCAAAGACCATCATTTGGTTTTACAATACCGCCAAGCTAAAAATAAAGGTTAAAGCTAGGAATCAAGGAAAGCATTTTTAACCTACCTTTCCATCACCAGCATAGTGAAAACTGGCATCTGTGGAAAATACGAGAAGTCTTCTAGCTTGTTCCCTCCAACCAATTTCATTTCTACAAACAACTGCCTGCATAATAGCGTCAAAGCCACCTTCAGGGGCATCTAAATTTCCAGAAACCGATGCTCTTTTTACCATATGCTGTATTCACAAAAAGTTGTTTAGTATTTTATTTATGAATTTGAATAATTGGTGAAAAACTTGAAATACACTTCTGGGCAAAACAAATAGTAAAGTTTATTTTTTATCTGTCTAGCAGTGCATTTTTATTTAATTTTAGATGTTAGTTATATTTAAAGGGTATATCTGTAGGGGGAAAATAAAATAGAGTAGTAAAGTGCTACAACAATAAAACCCGTGAAGAGATACAACAAAACATAGCATTATTATGTTATGGCCACAGTGTTAGATTTCATTATAGTTAGGATATAAATGCATTTTATTACATACAATTAAAAATATTGCTATTAGAAAAGCTAAATCTAAATAAAAAATATCTAGTCCATATTTTTACTAAAAATAAAATATCAGCCTTTCCAACATCAATTTACAAAAAAAACCAACGCACCATTTGTTTTAACATATTTATTATTTTTATTTGCCCCCCAATGTGTGGTGTTTATATGTTTAGGTATATACAGGGTGTTACTTAGGTATGTACAATAAATTTAACAGATGATTCTTTGAGTGATTTTAAGACAAAGAGTTCATATAATCTTAAACTTTGATGAACCTTAAAAATATTTTTGACAAAACAATTTACTCCACTGACATTTTTGTAATTTTTTTTCAGATTAGGCACCTAAAATTCCAACTGTTTTTTCTCATTAATTTTTTTCCTATTTTGCTTGGTTTTAGAGAAAAAAAATAAAATCCACTTAAATGCAAATCTTGTGTGGTCCAGGGATATGCAATTAAGGGGATTTTTTTTTTAGAAAACAAAATTCAAGAGACATAAAAGTTGTATTTTTAGCTGCTTAAACCGAAAAAGATATAAAAATTACAAAAATTCATTGTCGTAAATTTTTTTCTCAAAAAATATTTTTTAAGGTGCCGCTCGGGGCGCCACTGGACTACATTAGCCCCTTCCCGGACAGCATCCAATTCAGAAGGATTTCTGTACGAAGTCTGTTAAAAAACATCTTACCGAGGTCACATCTCAGGAGCTCAAGATTAAGATCTCTTGATGAATTCATAAATGAGAAGTCAATTTGTTAACATCTAAAAGTATCTATTTTTCTGACCTCTAATTGGAATCAAAATTAGAAGCTACTAAAGGTATCATAAATAAGACTTCAATTATATGGTATCTTACAGTATTCTCTTTTCTTAATTCTTACTGAAATCATATTATTAACGTTATAACTCTTTAAGGCGTCAAAATCGAGACGTCACATTAAGACCCTGGGAACTCCCTTTAGTTCTGTTCAACGTCACCGAGCGCTACGATCGCCATTTTTTCTCAACGGTGACCGCCACCTACCATTCAAAGTTTGAATCATAGATAACAAAGCCTTTTGGTTTTTGGCATAGATAACAAAGCCTGGTTTTTTATTAGAATTTGACACTTATGTTCTGTGTTGACACGGTTTTTCTCAACGGCGGTTTTTCTATGGCGGTTAAGTATATTTACTTAGTAAATTTTATTAATTAATTGATAACAAAGATAACAAAGCCTGGTTTTTGATTAGGATTTGACACGGTTTTTCTCAACGGCGGTTAAGTATATTTACTTAGTAAATTTTACTAATTAATTAATTAATTGATTGCAAGATGGGTCGTGCGAGGGGACTTTTCACCGTCTGCCCAAGAACGATGAGGTATGTTTTTATGTTATAGTAGTTTATAAACAAATGTTTATTATATAATATATATTATTATTATATAATAAATATTTATTACAAAGTAGCTTAAGTAATTCTTATAAATTATTAAGTAAGTTGGGGGCTTAAGTATAAGTATTAGGGTGGGTTAAAAAATTATTTTTTTAGCATATTGTATATTGATTAATATTATGAATAAAAAAATAATAATAAGATTTCGTATTTTTATTACCTTAAACTAAAATATTATGTAATGTCATTGACATTTATTAAAATTTATTCAAAAAAGCGCTATGTTCCCGCTTCTCCGCTTTTAGTTCAGTTCAACGTCACCGTGGCGTCCAAAGTTGCCGATCTAAAAGGCTTTGTTATCTATGATTAAGACATTTTAATGCGATTACTTTCTTCTCACCGCTGTAACTGCTTCTGTATAATTTAGAAGCAGCGAAGTAGAATTTAGAGCGTGCTCCATACCAAAAGGTTTTAGACCTAGGTAAACGGCTACCCGATACTGAAGAGCTCCAAAAGAGCGAAATAGGCCGTCTATCGTTGCCGGTAAAGAGCACGCTTGAATTTAAACAAAAGTGAGACGAAGTAATCACAATTCCAAAAATAGGCGAATACGAGCAAATTATTAAAATGATTTTATAAAAATCAATTTAATAAATTCGTTTGTTCTATGGTAATTAAACTAGACATATCAAAATAAGCAGTATGTAATTTTTTCATCATGCCATATAGAACACAAAATAAAAATCTATATGGTTCTATCTGGTTCAATATAGGAATTTGAAACAGGCATTCCACTATTGAACCAGATAGAATTCCAAACATGGAAAACCATATAGAAAAGTGATTTCTATATGGATTGCCATATATGTTCAGATTGAACCATATTGGAGCTTTATCTGGCCCAATATGGTTTGGGTATGAAAAAATTATTACCATATAGATCCATATTTAACCATATATGGGAATCTATATGGTTTAATATGCAATTTTCGTTTAAATATATATACATTTTAAAATGGAATTCCATATTCAACCATATAGGGAAACCTATATGGAAAGACACATAAAACAGAAACTAGATAAATTCATATAAAAATCCCTAACTTGTACATTTTAAAATGAAATTCCATATTAAACCATATAGATTCCAAAGTGTAAACCAGGTCGTTCCATATAGGACATATAGAACCATATAAATCCATATTAGTTTCCTTATCTGGATCAATATGGGTTCTATAGGGCATTTTTAATAGGGCAGTACCCTAGTAGTAGTTCTATATCCAAAACAGGAAATTCTAAAGAAGTCTTTTTATAAGTTTAAACAGTAGGACTCTTTAAAATGCTTAATTGCGAAGTCAAAGAAAGGGTAGGGTTCCTTAAGAGTTTTGTTTTAGAAGCCTTGATTAGTTCGATAGGTGGCGCATTTGAAGTCTTAAGATCTTCTTAAATAGTTATTTCAGATGTTGTATCTGACGTCCAAATCATAAAATAGAGCTTATGCAGATTAATTAAGACGTCATATTGCTGTCTGGGTTGACACTACAAATAACACTACCAAATTACAACTAAATTAGGTAATAGTTATTTACGATATAAGTGGGATAAGAGCTTTATTAACGTACGCATGCAAAATTTGCCCAACGAGTGCGCAGCACGAGTTGGGCAATCGCAAAAGTACGTTAATAAAGCGTTATCACACGTATATTGTACACATTTTTATCTACGCCTCTAAATCGAAAAATAAACGGTAATTATTTTTGTCTAAGACTTAATTTAGGGTTATTTTGACATTTTGACTTTTTTATTTGATTGGTTAAAAGCAGAGAAAAACGCGTGCGTTAATGAACTTCTTATCTCACTCAAAATGAGTGGGATAAGAAGTTCTTATCTCACTGGCGTAGATAAAGGATATTTAGGATATTTACGAAATACCAATTAAAAAAAAGTTTAGCACACTGTATCTTAAAATGTGGACCCATGTTTATGTAAACTGTTAGTCTTAAAATCACTCGTAGAATTGTACTTAAGTAACACTACTACTTGAAAATAACTTTTATATTGATAGGTACCTACCTATTATACCTATTATAGTCCGTTATTTTCCAAGTTTTTTTTACTTGGGTATCATCTAAATTTTTGGTTTATAGTCTAAAAACAATTTTAAAAGAATATTTTTTTTCCGATGTCAATGGCATTTTATTGACATAGGAAAATATGTATAACTCGCTCATAAATACACATGCAACAACATATTTTTGTAGGCAATTTTAAGCTTTTTTCGTAAAACCATCCATTTAAATAATATTGGAGGACACGGTTTTTTTCTTAGATATTATCTAAATTATTTATTTACAGTTTAAAAAGAATTTAATAAATATATTTTTTCCGATGTCGTTTAACCCTACCTAAATAATACCTATTTTTACATAAAAAAACTTTATAACATTCTTATTACATGCTTATTGCATGTCACAATACCCAAGACAAATTTTTGTAGAAAATTTTACGCTCTACAAAAAGGCCATTTACGTTTTTTTGTAAAACCATAAATTTAAATGATATTGAAATGCCACTTTTGCATTCGAAAATTAAAGTTTTTTTTAAATTCATAAGAGAATGTTCATCAACAACATTTTTTCGAAAACTGTATCCCAATTTATAAAATTACTAAAAATGTGAAGAGAAAATTTAGAACCGGATTTAAAAGAATTTTATCTGCTCACACAATGGTAATTTTTTACATTGTTTTATACCAGATAAGTTGAATTTACCGTGAAAGGCTGGTTGTCAATATATTGACAACAGGAGGTAAGCGAACTACTTACCTCCCATGGGTAAACAACGCGTTGCAACGTCTTAATATCGACAAAATGATAGCAGACTACGTGAAATCCTCGACTGGTAAAATCTACACTTTCCCCTTTATACTATTGCGTACATAATGACGGATGTAAAAGTAGTTTTTCAAAAGTTGCAGTTTTCCGCACGCTTATGAAAAACATATTTTTTCTACAAATGATAACTTGCGAGATTCCCTTGCTTGTAGAAAAAGTATTGTACCTAACACGCGCGGAAAGTTTCTTTTCCGCACTCGACTGGAGAAGTAGCACTTTCCGTACGACAGTCTTTTCACATAATAGACGGAAAATTATTAAAATCACGCACGTGATATTTAAAAACTCAAACCGATAACATACGCAAAATATTTTCGTTGGTTTGCACCAAAACATTGTAAAAATCAACACAAATTTAACGCTAGTTTTGTGTTCACAACCGAAAACTGTATGTAGACTTAAATTGTTGGGTTATTTTTTTTTATAAAATGGGGACTACTTTGCGGTAACATTTTTTTTCTCAACATAAACCTAAAACAATTGTAGGTTTAAACCTAATAAAATTCCAAACTTTATCATACATTTATTTGTTGCCATATTTTTCTTAAATCTATTTTGACTACGCAAATTCAACGTAAGTAGGTACTTATTTTATTTAAAAATTATCATTTATTTTTAACGATGTGTAAAAAGTTTGATTTGCCAGGAAATTTTAAATACATATTAATTTAAGGCGGGATTTTTTTAAACCTTGAGCTTCATTAAAAATATGTAACCACCAAAAATGGGTTAAAAATTTCTAAGGGGAGCAAGGGGGTCACTTGACCCACCCATCGATTTTTTTAAATTAGTTTTTTGTACATATATATACAGAGATGTAGATATTTTAAAATGTACAAGGGACAAGGGGGTTCAGTTAACCCGCCGCTTTTTTCAACTTAGTTTTTTTGTACATATATACATATATAGGTACATGTGTATACGGATAATACGGATAATTGTATTTTAGTTCGGTTTTTACACTGGGGCACTCCCTTTGCTGTATGAAATAGTAAGTGTAATATAAGTGACTTTGCGATTCAGGAGGGACAATATTGGATTCCCAGGGTATATAAATACAGGGTGTTTTGTAATTAATGTTATATATTAAAATACTGAATACCTTTTGACATAAGGAATAAAGGAAAAATATTTAAAAAAACATTTTTCCAAAGATAAAGAAAAAATATGCATTAGAAGTTTTTTATATTTTTTGTGATACGCCACTGGTTACACACTTGTTTATCTCTGCACACCTGTATTTTCTGAGTACATAGATACCAACCAACAAAGTAGCTAGGCGTTGCCAGATGTAAAAAATTGTTACTAAAAATTTTTCTTGCAATAAATAAATAAAAACTCAATAAATACAAAAGTTTTATGTCCTTAAAGCTCTAATACCCTTCTGTATTTATTTACTGATCCAGCTTTTAGCTTAAGCAATGATTAGAAAATTTAGTACCTTTGAAATTTGAAATCCATAACCACAAAATTAATTTTTTCATCAGTTTTTTTCTCTGTTTACTCAGATGAAATTGGGACCAGTTCACAGGTTAAAGTTTAAACATTTAATTTGTATAAATAAATCCAAAAGCACTTCCCTTAGTTAAGATATTTACAATTTGAAAACATAACCTAAAATTTAAAAGAAATGCACTAGATTCTGTCATAAAAGTTGGCAGATTTTGTTTGAATGAAATAACCAACAATTAATAAAATCGCCAAATTGACAATTTGCATTGTTAATTTTGTCATTTTTGTAATTAAGCTAAATTTAAACAATGTTTATCAACTTTTTTGAGAGATTTTGGACCTAAAGTTCCCAGTCGATCAGTGGCGTACTTTTTGGTAGGATAAAGGTTATTATAATTATAATAACCTTTATCCTAATAATAATTTAAATTATTTTTAGACTTTGGAATTTAGAAAAAAAAAGTTTCAGGTGCTTCTTTATGGACCCTAAGGAACAACCCATTTTAATATATAACATTAATTACATAACACCCTGTATATGAAAATATTCAAAAGATGGAACAAATGATTTAAGATTTAAATTTTTTAAAGAAATTCTGTGGTGCTTGGAAAAAAAATGTAATATGGTGATATAGAAACTAATAGAGTAAGTAAGTGTAAATAAATGATTTAAGGGATGATTTAACCTCAGATGTTCTTAATTGAGACTCTTAATCACATTAAAAAATAATTTAAAACAATGTGCTGGCCAAATAGCTTTTAAATTAAGCTAAATGTCATATTCCTCTGAACACAGATTTGTGATCAGAGAGATCAAAATACGAAGGGGATAATTATATTTGGCAATACTGTATCTGTGGTTAGGTATATAGTGGATTACTCCTGTTAAGTTGGTTTTATGTTTTATCAAATTCTGGGTAAGCTACAAATACATTTAATTATATACCTACATTTACTAATCAAGGTGGTTGTTACGTTTTAACATATTAATGTTAATTTTGTACTCGAAATGATGTTTGCGAAACAAGAAACACAAAATGCCAATTTTCAGTTAGGCAGGTGTTGCACTATATTTTTATTGTTATTATTTATTAAATACGCATATTATAATATAAATAAATTATTTTTTGTACCCAAAACTATAGTTTTCATAAAAACCATCCCAAAAAATATTTATTTGTTTTTGCGTTTACATTTTGAAATTAAACGCAAATGTCAACGCAAAATGAATGCTTCGACAAAAAAGCACATACTATTATTTAGTTCGAATTTGCGATTGATTTATGTAAAAAAAATATTTTAACGCAAACTTGACCATATTTTACAAAAAAAATAAAACGATTAAATATTTGTGTTTAATTTGGAAACGTAAATGCAAATATATTATATTATATTTGCGTTTAATTTTAAACGCAAACTAAACTCCACTTCATTTCATCATAAGAGTCAACGCCAAATAAACGCAAATAAAACGCTAGATTGACACGAAACCTGCAATTTGTGAGTTGATTTTGCGTTTGCCAGATCCGCTAGGGAAATGATAAGTGGTTTAACTTGAACCTCCATAATGTTAGTTAGGTACTTGAAAAAGGACAACTTTGGTAATATGTTAAACAAATATTAGAAATATTCCCTAACACCAAAACAAAACACAAAGTGCTTAAAGTACTTTTCGCCAACGATGTTGGCATCTTCAAAAGCGAAGTGTTGTGGAATATTTCTAATATTTGTTCCCCATAATGTTGTATCCTACATTTTCGGCTCAACTTTGTCCTTGTTGAATAAATTTTTCTCACTAATCCGCTGTAATCCTTTGAATTGATCATTAAAGGACTCGAGTCCTTTAAGAACAGCGCATTTAAAATTACTTCACCGTCAACAAATCCATTTTCATTTCCAATATAACAGACGATTAGCCGTTTTCATTTATAAGTAAAAGCTTGAAAATAGATATGCATTTATTACATCAAACCACTTAAATATGCATTTATAAGTCAAATACCCCTGAATTCACAGCGCTAGCGGTGGCCCTGATCAAGCGTTTTCAATGTGTTTGTTTTGGTCTGTATCTTATGTGAAAAGACTATAGCTAGGTAAATAACTATTTCGTGGTATATAGCAATAAATGTAATAGCTATTAAGAGTGCAAAGTAATATATATTGTCGCTTTGAGCGAGAAGTTTGACGAGCTTTGCGCTCGAATCCTGTGGGCTTACAGGATTTTTTTTGCAACTGGTGTTTTTATAAAAATGTTCGGTAATAATTAATAATTATTGATAACCTCAAATTTGACTTTTGTGTCAAAAGTCGCAGTGTATACTAGACGTTTCGTTATTAGGGTTTCCATGGTAACTAAGCGAGCGTTTTGGTTACTTTGTCGCTCAGCGAGCAACTAAGTAAAGAAACGCTTGCTCCTCGGAAAAGTGCAACTTTGCGCTTTCTTTTGGAAGCGCAAATTTGTCCTTTTCGCTCGGTTGTAGACTTTTTCGTTCTATAGACAAAAAACTGTTCTTTTGACCTACTAAAATTTGTCTTATATATTGTTGCATGTCTTTTTATTACTGAGTTATGAATTACAAAAAAAATGTATTTAGACTGTAAAAAAATATTAATATAGGTATTACCCAAGTAAAAAAAAATCAACTTGGGAAATAAGTTATTTCAAATAACGGACACCCTAACTAAGGGTCCCTAAGGTATATGTGACATGGGGAAGAGGATTTATCGGCAAAAATAAATATGTTAAACAATATAATATTTAACTCCCCAAGTAGTATTTTTAGTGTGTGTAAGTCTTGAACCAGCCTTTTTCTCAAAATAAAGTCTTTACTTTACTTTATTACTTTTCTAATCAATTGTTATGTTTATTTATCCAAAATGTGATATTATAGCAATTTATTTCATCAGTATGACAGTTCTAAGTAAAATGTATAGCACTTTTTTTAGCATCACTTGCATATTACCTATGCAATTTACATTTGAACGTTTTTTTAATTACTTTTAATGTGTTATCAATGGCTTTCCTATTTATGAATTTATAAACATATGTATTTTATTCTTGTGATAAAATATTTGCTATACATAAATAAATTAAGATATAATCCCTGTATATTTTTCGACACTAATTATTAAATGTGTAATATATATTAAAAATTTAATTTTATTAATTTTGAAAATAAATAAAAAATACAGTATGAAATAATGTAAACTTAAAAGATACACTGTTGGAATGTTGACTGGTCCAGAGTTTCTAACTCGTACTGTCCCTTTCTGATCTTATAACGTTAATTTAATATTAAATATTTCTGGATATCATAATTTTATAACAATTAGGCCAAGTCAAATTGTTCTTTATTTTGAGATTTCGTTCGGAATTGTTCGGTTAGCTTCGTGTTCGGCTGCGACTTACTGAAAAACGATTGGTGTCGCGTGACAGCCTCATGACGTTCTTGTATCCGTAAGGGGCGGCACACAATTCGCAGTCGGGTCGTGATCCCACAAACCCGCTTAGTGGCTCACACAAATCACAAGGATGTTCTAAGCTACAACCAATAACAATGTTTTCTTGCATCTACATGACACACCTGTTCCCTTTTAAATAAATACAGAATTTTGCACGAATGCAAAACATGTAGGTACTGTTTGTAAGTTTTAGTCAAAAGTATGTAACTTATTTTGACTCAACCATACACAAAATACGTTTCATTACTAAATATACTATAGTATTATAACTACATATAATATAACTATATTGTAACTATAGTTGATGTAGTCGAATTGTTAGTAACACCAAAATAAGAGTAAAAACAAATATTAACAGCAAAGCATGACTGCACACCCCTAACTTCTGGTTGCATGCCCATGCCCGTTTACCTAGAATCTGCATATTATCCTACAATTTACCATTAACATCCCAATGATAAACATGCTTATACAAAGTAGAGATTAGAAGAAATGGTATTCAACTGGAATAAAACTAAGTATAATTAGTTATATTCCATTTGGAATCTATTACTTGATGCAAGTGTACAGAAAATATAAAGGATATGAAATAATAGAAAGAATTAATTTAGGATATCATGGAACAGGATGAACTTATAAGGTATTGTCACTATTTAAGCGCTAACAAAACAATTTAATTAAATATATACTGACAATACCGATATATAAATTAATGTGATTTTGTTAATAAATATGTTGATTATTGGGAAAACTTACTGAAAATTGTTTAGTATTATTGTTGAGGTTCATATGATGGCGATATCCGTACGGTGCCACACATTCATCGCAAGGTCTCTCCAACCTAAATCGGCCAATACAGGGTGTTAATAAAATAACATCGACAACAAGATAAAGTTTATTGTCCAGGCCATCGAAACGAGTGTGTGGAATTAATTTAAGTGCAAAAGCATTAAAAACATCAAAAAATATTTAAATTGTTTGATTTTTAGAGAAAATTAGATTAGTTGTGTTATTTAAAATAAATTATGTTCTTAATGATTTTGTTTTTCATGTATAACACACCAAATATTTCACAAATTAAACACTTAATAAAATAAACAAATAAAAAACAACTTACTTTTCTTTCAGTACACTAACATAAGGCATTTTCACTTTATCGACGAAACTGCCGAATCCAAGACTGAATTTGGAGGTAATTTTTGTCATAGTAGTTGCCAACTTATCACCTAATAATGAGAGTTTTTCCTTATCATCGTACATAGAACGACTGAGATCCATAAGGTAGTACAGATCGACTGGATAGTCTTCAGCTTGGGTGTAGCCCATGTTTATACTGTAGGATTGTTCTAAAAAAAACAAATAGCTAATAAAAAATATATGTACAATTATATGTAACATACAATTTAACTTTATTTTAGTACATACATTTCAGGGAGCCGGACCGGACCGTTTTTGGACAGAAAACCGGACCGGAACCGTAAACAACCCCATATTATTTTTAAACGTAAGTCTAGAGAGCGAACCCGAACCCTTTAAATTTAAAACGGTTTTTTTAAGTTATTTTCGGTATTTTTCTTAATTACTTTTTGCAAAAATTAAAAAAAATATATTTTGTTTTGTTAAAAAATGTATAAAATTAGTTTTTGCAAAAAAATATTTGAGCACGACCTATAAATCTATAAATTATACACTCTAGCACAAGTATTGTTAGGGGTGCTGTGTTAATAACAATTGTAAATGTTGTATAAATAATTATTGTAAATGTAAATTAGAATAACTTTATTGGAAAAAGAAAGATGTCAACTTTTAAGAACTAAAGAAAAAAGCCACTTCAGAAAAATACGAAAATAACAATAATTGTAATTATTTCCAAAACTTGAGCGGAATTCTGATAAATGCATATTTAATATATTATATTAATATTATTATCTACTTCTTAAATTTTACTTTACACAAATTAATATTTATTTCACCATATTGTCCCCATTATCACATATTTAACATTTTACAGAGCATTGAAAAATTGAAATTTTTAGCTAATTTTTTTTCTCATTGTGCTGCAAGACCAAATTGGATGAAATAATTAATGAATAATTAACAAATAAAGGTTCGAAATCTATGAGTATTTACTGAATTCGCCATTAAAAAACTAGTTTTTACGATAAGTTGCAATAAAAAAGACAATTTTCAAAAAATAACTTAAAATAAAATTGCAAATTAGGGAAAGGTTATCCTAAATATTCAAATAACTAACTTGCTCTTAGTTTTAAATTCATTCTTTGTGGTGCCACCTGAACAATATCTCCTGATCCTCGAGACCCACTAGCCGCTCCGCCTCCATAATATCCCGAGGAACTAGCAGAAGAGGAAGTGTGCGAGCTATAGTTATAGCTTCCCTCATATCCTGATGCCCATTGACCTCCTCCTTCGCCGCCTTTCGAAAGAGCTTTCGACAGTTCGGCATTCGAAATTATACTCATAATATTATCGGGATTGTACACATACTCTTCTGGGCATTCTTCTTTCAACGGTATCGGATATGAGGGTTGGAAACATCTTGGGCTTTCTCTAAGGTTCTATAAACATTATTAGTACATATATTTACTTATTAAAGAATATACTTACAGGAGCGTAGCACCAAGCACAAGAAGGTGTTTGAATACAAGCGTGACATGATAATTTGTTAGTACATGGATTTTGTAATTGAGAGGAAGAAACTTGTGCTAAGACCACAGTCGTCGAGTAAGTCAGCAAAAATACTGCTGTTCCTAGAAACTGCCATTTAAAAGGTATCATTTTTCCTGAAAAAAAAACAGTCTATTATAATCATTATTATCTTTAAATAAACGAAATATGTAAACTTTTTATTGTATACATTTTTTTCAAACTTTTAAACAATGTTAAAATCATCAAGGTTTGTATGCCTTAAAACAGGTTTTAATATTTTTGTAAAAATTACTTAAAAATGGTAAAACCATGAGGGTTAAAATTATTTCATCAGTAATCGGTCTATGGCCTATAGGTACTTAAAAATGATTTAAAAAAATCGAGTTAAAAGATACGATTTCTCTCAGATCTATATAACCTCACTTTCTTATTTTAATAATAATACGTTTTGTAACTTGAAAATAAAATGTTCCATACCATTCGGCCAAGAAGTGTCTTTTTGTGCCTCTCTCAATTGTAGGCCTCCGCTATACGTAGGCCTAAAAACTTTAAGCTCAGCACAAAAAGACTTTTTAGCCTGATGGCATAAATATCCATGACTAATTAATACACGCATTTGTCTATGATTTTATCCGAGGGGTAAACCACTGATTTTTTTAAAATTAAAAATCGCCTACGAAGTAACGGTTAACGATAACAATCACAAGGGTAGTCAAGCGCAACGCGTCGCTAAGAGAAATTTCTTATTGATAAGGACGTTTTCCTTACTGATAAGGAAAAAATCAGAACACAAAGTCCACATAACGTTGAACGTTGGTCTTGCTGATTTTAAAGTGGTTTACCAGTCGATTTTGTCTATCAGAAACGCATAAAATCAAAATCTTTAGTCCCCTAAATAAAATTACAATTTAATTTATTTATAAATATATTATACCCAATACTTTTTAAATATTTATAAAAATCTTTAAAAAAACGTAGGTAATCATTATTATTAATTAAAAGCAAATGTCACGAAATGTCAAAAGAACAAGAAAATAGTTATTTATTCCTAACCGTCAATAAATTACCATTACAATAGCGATTTTCAGAGGTAAAGAAACACTTTACCTGCCGCTAATTTATCAACATGGCTTAAATTAAATTAACTACCAAATTATTTACCAAAAATAATGATACAGTATACAGTCGTATAAATATATATATATATATATATATATATATATATATAAATATATATATATATATATATATATAGTCCTTCGGAGGGGACTTTAAGCCGTCGGTCCGTTCCTACCCCTAACCCGCACAAGCCATTCAGTTGGCTTATGGGACATCTTAGTTTGGATGTAAGGGTGGAACTAAAAGAGCACTTTATAACTTTATAACTTTATATATATATATATATATATATATATATATATATATTTACATCTTCAATTATTACGGCCTCATACAATAGACAAGTTTATCGGCCTCACCCAGATGGAGCGTAACCAGCGAATGTCTGTGTCATGTATATTAAATTTCAAAGTATTCTAAACAGATCCCGCGCACTTAGAAATCCGTATCTTTAATTTTATGGTATACATTTTTAACCATCTTTCATACATAAAAACCTCTTACTAAATAACTAACATTGTGGCTTCAATTTGTGTATATATTTTTTAAATAGCGACATTATAAACTCGTGTATATACAATACAGCCTCATACATGGTTGCCAAATCTTATTATATGGTTAAATGCATTTAAATTAATGAATTGAATTTCCTGCTTTCATCTAACGGCCATTTCAAGCGCTCGAAATGCACGAATTTCAAAACTGTTTTTATGAAACAAATTGTAGATAATTTATTTCATAATATTTTGGCATCAAAATTATCAAAAATATTTTTCTTTTATTAGGCTATACATTAAATAAAAAAACGCAAGAAATATTTAAAAAAACTAAAGATAATTTTGTCGACGGGACAAAAAAAAGATTTATCTTAAGATACAAAAAAAAAGATTTATCTTAAGATACAATTGTCCCGTCCACACCTGTCAATTATTTAAATTATCTTTTTACTTTCATAAAATAACAAAAATATTTTTGACAATAAAAATAGTTTTGTGACTTGTCCCGTCCGTATGATTTTCACTAATTTTATTCATACGGACATCATACGGATGTCACTTCGAGACAAATGAAAATCATGTCGTGATTTTTTATGCCATTGCTGTTTGCGATTGACCGATGGCCTAAAAAATCATGTCGTGATGTTTTATGCCAACGGTGTTTGGATAATCATTTTTGCGCCACAATCGTAAACTAAGAGAAAAATTATGTTGAATCAACAGTTTTTGTGGTTAAATACATTCAATCCTGGACAACATTCGTGATATTCATACGAACATCATGTCGTGATTTTCCCAAATTTTATTCATACTGAAATCATACGGAAGTCAGCGCGTGATAAATGAAAATCATACGAACGTCACGTCGTGATTTTCACAAATTTTATTCATACGAACATCATCCGGATGTCACTGCGTGAGAAATGAAAATCATGTCGTGATTTTTTATGCCATCGCTGTTTGCGATTGACCGATGGCACAAAAAATCATGTCGTGATTTTTTATGCCATCGCTGTTTGCGATTGACCTATGGCACAAAAAATCATGTCGTGATTTTTTATGCCAACGGTGTTTGGATCATTTTTGCGCTACAATATTTTCTTGGATTTAAATTAACTATATATAGTTAATTTAAATCCAAGAAAATATTGAATGTTAAACTGTTGATTCAATTTTCAACATACTTTTTCTTTCAATGTACGAATGTGTCGCAAAAATAAATATCCAAACATGTCGGTGCACCGATATCGGTGCCACATGGTATAAACAATCATATCGTGATTTTTTATGCTCAAGCACCGATAGCATAAAAAATGCCATCACTGTTTGCGATTGACGGATGGCCTAAAAAATCACGACACGATGTATGATATATGATTTTCATTTATCACGCGGTAACTTCCGTATAACATCAGTCTTAATAAAATTTGTGAAAATCACGACATAATGTTCGTATGAATATCAAGAATGTTGTCCGGGTTCAATTAAAAAAGATATTCCAATGTTTAACAAAACGTTCACGTTTTGTTAAACATTCGCAGTTCGCAGGGCTCATACGCATGCGCAAATTTTGCAAATATCACACCGTGAGTTCTCCATGATATCACTGTGATGAAGCATTTGTATGCACTCAGGATATCACAGCGTGATAAAAAAAATCACGTTGTGATATCATCATGACTTCAGCAGAAAATCCCGATTGTTGTCCGGGATATTTTCTTGGATTTAAATGAACTATATATAGTTAATTTAAATCCAAGAAAATATTGAATGTACTTAACCACAAAAACTGTTGATTCAATATATATGTAGGTATACTTTTTCTCTCAATGTACAAATGTGGCGCAAAAATAAATATCCAAACACCGATGGCATAAAAAATCACGACATGATTTTTTATGCTATCGGTGTTTGGATATCACGACGTGACGTTCGTATGATTTTCATTTATTACGCGGTGACTTTCTTATGATATCAGTATGAATAAAATTTGTGAAAATAATGACGTGATGTTCGTATGAATATCACGAATGTTGTCGGGGTAGGTTTTTAGTTCGCAGGGCTCATACGCATGCGCAAATTTTGCAAATATCACAGCGTGAGTTCTACATGATATCACTGAAGCATGTATATGCACTCAGGATATCACAGCGTGATAAAAAAAATCACGTTGTGATATCATCATGACTTCACCAGGAAATCCCGATTGTTGTCCGGGCTGTAAACCTGTTTTTCCGGCTTTCAAAATGGCAGTTGTGAAATTTTTCTGTAAAAATCGAAATTTATCTCTTAAAATGGATCAAGTCCCAATAAAATCCGACGTATAAGCAGTTTTTTACAGTGAAAGTGAAGAGGATGTGTTATCGTTATCATCAAATACATATAATATATAATAAAAAATTGTAAAAATTTTATTTAAATTTTTATTTTTTTATTAATTAATTACTGAGGTTTTTTTTAATTTTTAATGGAAACTCAATTTTAAATGAAATTATATAAAAAAATAAAGGAGAATAAATATTATTAAAATTATTTTATATCTCAATATTATCCCGAAACTAAAAATAAATTTATTGTCTGTTTTTTTTTTTAAATATTTTTAAATCGATCCTTGAGTACCCTACTATCTACGCATGCGCAATCGCTTTTAAAACAACGGAATTGCGTCCTTGTCTGATCGTGAGCTAACTTTCCCGTTTTTTATCTTTAACAGTTGGCAAGCCCTATTTGCGGACACTTTATTTTAGGCAACCGTCTACCATAGTGTGGGTTGCCAATATGACAGCTGTCAAAATGACAGGTGCCAAAATAACGGCTGTCGAAATGACAGGTGCTAAAATGACGAAGCTCAAAATGACAACTGTTAAAATTACAGGTGCCAATATAACGGCTGTAAAATGACTGATTCCCGAATGACAGATGCCAAAATAACAGCTGTCAAAATGACAGGTGCTTAAATTACAGCTGTCAAAATGATCGGTGCGAAAATGACAGGTTCCGAGTTATACAGCCCAGCAAACACAACCGTAAAGGTTCTATAATGGTCCTTTATAGAAGTAATTTTAAGGTCATTTGAAAGTCAAAGTGCGAAGAAATGGATACAAATATTGGAAAAAAATCAGGTTCCTATTGGTTTTTCAGGGTCGCCGAAATTAAATAAGGTTAAAACCCTTTTTTTTTAGATCATTCCATTTCAGGTGGTCACTGCATTTGTGCTTTCATGAAAGTTTAAACTACTTTTTCACACTTTGACCTTGAAATAGCCCTGAAATGCCTTTGAAATAACCTCTGGGCGACCTTTCCAGGTCAATTAAAATGCCAGATTCAAATTAAGCGACCCCGAAAACCTTTAAATGAAGGTTTTCAAATAGTTTCAAACACTTTTACACACTTTTACCTTGAAATAACCTCTGGATGACCTTGCCGGGTAACAAACGACAGTTTTGGATTCTGCGATCCGAAAAGTTTAATATACTTAATTTTTTTTCTAAGCAATTCTTCTTACTTTGACCTTGAAC